CGCAAGAAGAGAACCAAAAAAAAAAACTGTCTCACCAGTTCCCGGTACTTCGGCTGAACTGCGCGCTCGCTTGGGGTTTGTCGATTTGTTGTCCTGCCGCGGAAACCTTCCCGGCGCGCAGGGTTTCACCGCACAAATTGACAACCCCAATGGCGCGAAAGTTTTATTATTTTCCAGCGACTCTCCGCGAAGCCTGTGCCGCGTAACCCTTCCCGCGAATACGCCAGTTACCTATCGGCGGGTCGAGTTGTTGCCGGCCGTCGCAATTCGTGCGCGATCTGTCCGTGACAAACCAGGGAGTAGAGCGATTGATCTCAGGGCATACTAGTACTAGACTTTTTCGATTCGACTCAGTTGGGGACGTGATTCGAGTCAGACAGATGCATCCAGGTCCCACCCTAGATGCCCTCGTTGCACTGCCCCCAACACCAGCAGGTCTGAAGACGAAGCGGAACGGAGGGTGTAGCATGGTTCAGCGCATCCCCACACCAGGACTTTTTGACTCATCTCTGACCGCAAATGCGGTCAGGTACGCTCGATGGGAGTCGAGACAGATACATGCAGGAAAGTGTTTGTGTGAGGGCGTACTTACACTATGACTTTTTCGACTGAAATCGAGGCGCGATTGTGGCGATATACATCCTGTCGTGGCCGTAATGTCAGTCAGACATTTACATTTACGGAAGTGCTACTCTCCTCGCTGTGCAGATAGTGGATGGAAAGACTGGATCCTGCACAGATAGTCGATGGAAAGACTCGATCGTCAGGTACTCAGCACACTGGTACTTTTCAGACTGCTCTGTTCGCAGATTCCTTGCCGCCAGATGCATATGCCGCTTGCCGTGTTCGCGGTCAGATACATTCAAAAAGGTGAGTTTAACCAGCGGTGTACTATATAACGAGGCCCTAACCATCGAACCGAGTGTCCCAGGTTCGCGCTCACACTGCAGGTCGAATTGGCGGGCGTCGACGCACACACCAATGCCTGGGGCTAGGTCCCACTTACTCGAATTAAGCGATATTGACCGTGGATAGCAGAGATCGACGGCCAGAATCTCTTAATCCGTGCAAGTGGGACCTTGCCCCTGGTACGCTGTCGCGGGGTGAGAACCGTTGACGCCTGGCGACATTCATTTTTGAAAAATTTTGAAACCCGAAAATTGGAAATCGGTTCTTCCCGCTGCGGTTCTTGTTCCCCCTGACGAGGCTGGCCTAACGCGCCCACAGACACCAGCAGGGTAGAGAGAGAGAGAGAGAGAGAGAGAGTCTGAGCTTGGGTGATTGCATGCGTTCATGCGTGGCAGGCAGCGAGCGAGCGAGCTAGCGAGAGAGAGAGAGAGAGAGAGAGAGAGAGAGAGAGAGAGCGAGAGAGCGAGAGAGAGAGAGAGAGGGAGGGGGAGAGAGAGAGAGGGAGGGGGAGATGAGGACAGGAGACAAAGCACTGGTAGCTTAGCTAGCGGGCATGCGGGCGGGTGCTCAATGGGCAATTCTCTCAGGTGTTTCGCGTTAGAGCTGATGGTCGCGCTGCCATCTTGGGGAATTGTTAACGGAGGGAAAAGGCTGACAGTAGAATGGAAATGCTAACGGCGGGAAATGCTAACGGAGGAGAAGTGCGAGCTGATGGATCGCAGAAAAAATCCGGCCCGTAAGTCGTGCAAGCTGATGAATCGCATTCGCATGCTGACGGAAGGGATTCGCTAAAACGGAGGGAAGTGCTGACGAGGACAAGGAGGACTCGATCTCGTGACTTCCATGAACTTTGAGGAAGGTGGGCGTTTGCTACTTACTCAAATTCCCGGCAAGCGGAATAACAAAGGGTTGGGAGATTGCCTGATGGAGCTGACGTGGCCTTCTCTCCTGCGGCAGTCCCTGTTTTGGATAAGGATATAATAAGATCGCGACTGCCACGTAAGACTGTGGCAGTCTCAGAGACGCAGGGAGGGGATGGTGGGGGCCACATATCAGAATCCGGTGAACGACGCAACAAGGGGTTTATCAGAATCCGGCGAACGACACAACAAGGGGTTTACAGATTGCGTGATGGAGCTGACGTGGCTTTTGTGCTACAGCAGCCGTTGTGCATAAGAGGAGGATATAAAATTGGGACTGCCAGGGAAGACAGTGGCAGTATCAAAGACGCAGGGAGGGAATGGTGGGGGGGGGGCGTATCAGAATCCGGCAAAAGAGGTAACGAGGGGCTTATAGATTTTGCGGGATGGAGCTGACGTGGCTTTTGTGCTGCGTCAGCCGTTGTGATATAAGATTGCGACTGCCAGGTAAGACTGTGGCAGTATCAAAGACGCAGTGAGGGAATGGTGGGGGGCATATCAGAATCCGGCAAAAGAAGTAACAAGGGGTTTACCGATTGCGTGATGGAGCTGACGTGGCTTTTGTGCTGCGTTAGCCGTTGTGCATAAGCGGATGATATAAAGCTGCGACTGCCAGGTAAGACTGTGGCAGTATCAAAGACGCAGGGAGAGGATGGTGGGGGGCATATCAGTATCCGGCAGCCGGGGTAACGAGGGGTTGAGAGATTGCGTGATGGGCTGACGTGGCTTTTGTGCTGCGTCAGCCGTGGTGGATAAGGATATATATATATGTATGTATCTGTTGTTGTCGTTCGTGTTGAGAAGAAATTGACGAGGACGGGGGGGGGGGGGGGGGGGGGGGAKGGGGGGCGAGAAGGGAGTTGTGGGGAAGGTTGGGTGGGTGTGTGAATTACATTACGACTAATATGCAGCGAATGGAGTTAAACGGGGAAATGACGGATTCGAGGGATGAGGTTGATGGAGCGCTGCCGACTGAGAGGATGTGTGGATAAGGATATATCGAGCGTATCTTGTCGTCTTCTATAATTTCTTGAAACGGAAATCTCTCGTTCCTAATTTGGAATCTTTATTGAGGCTGGTGGGGTTGGCAAGGTGGCTGGTTGCCGTCTACCCAAAGTGGAACTGCGGAGGACTTTGGGCCGAAAAGAGGGCCCCAGAGCTGAGAAGGGGAGGGGTGGGGAAAGAGAAAAGGAGAGAGAGGGGGCACGAGGGGGTGGGAAGGGAGAAGATCGGGAGGGGGCATGCCGTGGTACTGGTCCTGCCATTGGTGGCTAATGTACTTGGCGAGGGCTCGTTCGTCTGCCTTTCGAGTTAAGAGTGCATTGCGCTTAGCACGAACGCGACCGCTTTGTCTTCTGACCGTCGAAGCGTGAGTGGAGGAAGGTCACAGAGAGACAGACACAGAGAGAGAGAGAGAGAGAGAGAGAGAGAGAGAGAGAGAGAGAGAGAGAGAGAGAGAGAGAGAGAGAGAGACGTGTCTGCCTATCGATCTGATCAACCATAGTCTGACCATTTATGCTTTAATGAACATCGGACGGTCGTGGTTCAAGTAGTTTTCTGGGTGATTGAATTCTTTGGTGGCGGCCACGTGGACTGTGTTTGTATTCTTTGTGATCTGTTCTGTGCGACAGCTCTGTTCCGCGGTGTTCCGCGTGGTTCCGTGGTGTTCCCCGCTAAGCTGCGAGACCGCGCGACACGTGTCTTATCAGCATCTGCACCCTGAGGCGATTGGGAGGCGGACAAGGGGAAAGGTAGTGCACCTGGTGGACGATGAAGAGTCGGGATGTACACGTCAGCGGCACAAGCCAATCTTCTTGCAGCAGTGTGTACATCGGTTTTCGTCAGGAAACGGTTCTGCAGTCAACTAGGAGGAGGAGGGGGTTTTGCGTTTGGATCTATATTACACTTTGCACATTCTTTTGGGCAATAACGTAAGGGGAGGTGGAGGGGGAGGAGGAGGGGGAGGGTGGGGAGGAGGAGGAGGAGGAGGAGAAGGAGGAGGAGGCGACGAGGCCTGATAACAAGAGGCCAAGGGGAGAAAGCAGATTAGTGGGTTGGCGTTTTAGCGGAACTGGAGATCCGAGAGCAATAAGGGGGAGAGAGAAGATGGCAGGAAGCTTCTTGCTCTCCCTTGTCCTCTTCCTCCATCTCTTTGAACTCCCTGGTCATGCTCGTGCTTACGAAGAACACGCTGCTGCTGGTGCTGCTGCTGGCTGCAGTACTCTGAGTCGCGACGGCCTGTGTGGAGGAGGAGGAGGAGGAGGAGGAGGAGGAGGTGAAAGAGACGGAAACCTGCACGAGAAGACGGGGGGTAATGAATTGCCGACCCATCCGCGACCGCTGATTCATTCTGTATCATCATGGAAAGTTCCTGGTGCATCGGTTGACTCTGAACCGTTGATCTTTGATGGGGGATCATCCGGCGATCCTGGAGGAGGATCCTTGATTGGTCATCGTTGGCCCGGATCGTCGAGCAGTCGCGGATCATTCGACGATGAATCCTCGTCGAAAGATCGCATATCGAACGATGAATCATCGGCGAACGATGCAGATCCTGAGGACGAATCATCGTGGAATGATCCTGGCTCTGCTCGTGCATCGTCGTTGATTTACGCTGATGAATCTCGTCGTAGATCGTCGATTGATGCACGATCACGGGTAGGAACCGTCGTTCAAGAAGATGTTCTTCACCCGCGTTCTGCAGGGGTGGCAGTCGGAGAAGAGCCAACTGATGACGAGAAGCAGCGGCTCAGACTACAACCAAGAAGAGAGGAAGTTGGGACGATTGGGAGAGGAGGAGGAGGAGGAGGAGGAGCAGGACGCGCGGCGGGGGCAATTCAAGTGGGTGATGCGGTGGCGGGCGGTGACGTGACCCGCATCCCCGGAACCGATTTGCTGCGCCAAGAGAAGATCGAGCGGGAGGGCGAACCAGAGTATCACTCTCATTCGGGCATGCTTGAGGGTGCTGCTGTCTCTTCTGATGACCGCTTCACAAGGGTGGGCATTGTCGACGCTCAGTCTGCGACGAAGCAACAGCATCAGCAGCAAGAGGAGGAGGAGGAGGAGGAGGAGGAGAAGCAGAAGGGTGCTGCTGTGACAGTCTCTTCTGAAGGGGGTTCGAGAGAGATGGTCATCGCCGAGGTTCAGTCTGAGATGGAGCAGCAGCAACAGCAGCAGCAGCAGCAGCAGCAGCAGGAGGAGGAGGAGGAGGAGGAGGAGGAGGAGGAGGAGGAGGAGAAGGGCGCTGTTGGGAGAGTCTCTCCTGAAGATGTTTCTAGCGGAATGGTTGTTGCCTATATTCAGTCTGAGTCTGAGCAGCAGCAGGAGCAGGAGGAGGAGGAGGAGAAGGTGGAGGAGAAAGAGCAGCAGGAGCAGGAAAAGGGTGCTGCTGCTGTGACAGGCTTTTTAGAAGAGGGTTCCAAAGGTATTGTGCCTCCCGAGATTCGGTCAGAGTCGAAGCAGCAGCAGCAGCAGCAGCAGCAGCAGCAGCAGCAGCAGCAGCAGGAGGAGGAGGAGGAGGAGGAGAAGGAGGAGGAGGAGGAGGAAGAGGAGCAGAAGAAGGGTGCTGCTGTGACAGTCTCTTCTGAAGATGTTTCCCGAGGTATGTTCGTTGGCGAGATTCAATCCGACTCGGAGCAGCAGCAGCAGCGGCAGAAGGAGGAGGAGGTGGAGGTGGAGGTGGAGGAGAAGGAAGAGGAGGAGAAGGAGGAAGAGGAGCAGAAGAAGGGTGCTACTGCGACAGTCTCTTCTGAAGATGTTTCCCGAGGTATGGTCGTTGGCGAGAGTCAATCCGACTCGGAGGAGCAGCAGCAGCGGCAGAAGGAGGAGGAGGTGGAGGTGGAGGTGGAGGAGAAGGAAGAGGAGGAGAAGGAGGAAGAGGAGCAGAAGAAGGGTGCTGCTGTGACAGTCTCTTCTGAAGATGTTTTCCGAGGTATGGTCGTTGGCGAGATTCAATCCGACTCGGAGCAGCAGCGGCAGAAGGAGGAGGAGGAGGTGGAGGTGGAGGAGGAGGGGGGCGGGGAGGGGGAGGAGCAGGTGCAGCAGCAGAAAGGAGGGAATGAGGAGGACGGCGAGGAGATGATAATGGACAGTGACAAGAAGAGGAAGAGCAGTAGCAGCGAACGACGACGGCGCAGAAGGCGGCATGGTGGGCCTTCTTCTGCAGAAAATGCAGGTGCTATTATTAACACGACGGAAGAGTTGATATCAACGCAAGTGATGCCGGAGGAGGAGAAGAGGGAAGAGAAGGGAGGTGTGGGTGAGGGAATGGGTTTCAAGAAACGACAAGCAGATGCCACGTGGATGGATGACGCAAGTGATGACGTGGATGGAGGACAAGCGACGGCAAAGCATGAGCAGCAGCTGGATATGGAGGCGGTAGAGATGGTGGACGAGAGACGGGAAGGAGAAGCGAGGCCGCGAGCAGAAGAGGAGGAGGAGCTCAGTGCAGTATCGCTATCGCTTCACAACACCCTTCGTCTCACCACCTCGGCCGATCCCGACTCCCAACTGCGAAGCATTCTCTCCCATCACGAATCACCTCCCTCCCTCTCCCAACTCTCTCTCATGCAAATCACTAAACCCCTTTCAGAACAATCCACTACGACTCCCACCACCTCTTCTCTTCCCTCTTTGTCCTCCTCCTCCTCCTTCTCCTCCTCCACCTCCACCTCCACTTCCACCTCCACCTCCACCTCCTCCGTACCCACTGTCTCTCTATCGTCCAACTCCTCCCTCCCCATTCTCCAGCAACAGCATTCCTCTCCCAACGACGCGCCTTCTGATTCACCTCCACCCATCATCGTCAACAACTCCAAAACTTTTCTTCCCTCGATTTCTAATCACTCTTATCGGGATCCCGAAGGACCTCGACATGTTAAGTCGCACGATGATCCGACGGTCGGGATGGAAACCGAAAAAGTGGATATTCTCCGGATCAGCAGCCAAGATCCCGACATCATTTCGGTTCATCCCATAACCGATCTTTCTGTTTCGCCGCTTGTTAACCCCTCCACGAACCCGCAACATCCCTCCTCCTCCTCCTCCTCCTCCTCCTCCTCGTCTTCCTCTTCCGCCACCATGGCATCGTCCATACCCTTGATGTTTTCATCTTCATTGCCATCTACATCGTCAACAGCTAAACAGCTCGGCGCGCTTCATATCGCTTTGGGCGCCGGTGATGAGAACAGCCTGGACGGTCATGATTTCGAACGCCACTCCTCCTCCATCGCCACCTCCTCTTCCTCCGGCTCCTCCGCGTCCTCCTCCTCTGTTATTCTCTCGTCGTTAGGAGGGTCGAGCTCTCTTATTCAATCTGAGGTTCCGCCTTTGAATGACTCTGATGTTGCGATCCGCGAGCTCTGGTCGATTGAGGAGGAAAGGGTTGGGTCTGGGAATGATGATCATGCTGCTTCGATAGAAGAGCGTCCACTGACACTTCTCCTCGAGAGGCGGCTGTCTCGACCGCCCATCGACAGCAGCAGCGAATCGTCGCCGTTGATTAGTAGAGGCAGCAAGATGATTGGTACTTATCCTTCTACGGGTGGAGATGAGGATGATGATGATTCGCGGAAGATGCGGAGGAGTATCATCGATGGCGTCGAGCTCTTCTCTCTCGCGTCTGCTGTCCCGACTGCAGATGCGCGGGAGACGAAGGGAAACGGGGAGGGAAAGACGGCAGAAAGAGGAGGAGGAGCCGATGACGATGGAGGTGGTGCAGAAGTAGGTGGAGAAGTAGGTGGTATATCATCATCGCCTTCCCAATCTGTGTCTCAAGGATTGCCGCATACGCCGGCTCGTGCCAGCCAATCCATGGGGTCGGCTGGCTTAATCATCATCTCCTCCTCGTCGTCCTCGTCCGGTGCCAAATCAGCAGCTGTGGGAAGGAGATCAAAAAAATTGGGCGCCGACGACGATGGTGGTGCGCGTGTTGGTCATGATAATAGTGACCGTCACGACGCGTTGCAGCCAGCTCAGCAGGGATCGGGATCGCCAGCAGATGTGATTAGGCAATCGACGCAGAGGAAGAGCCAAGCAGAGTCGGGGTCGGGTGCTGAGCTGTCATCGTCGCTATCTAGTCCTCGTCGGAATTCCGCTCGTTTGCCCGAGAAGAACGAAACGCTGACAACCTGGCCTTTGGTCAAAGATGGCCAAACGCCGAAGACGCCGCATCCGTTCAATGAGCCGATGGGGGGAGAGTCGGCGCTGGCGAATGAGGAGGGAGAAAAGGCGGGAGAGGAGAGGATGATGGAATCTTCTTCGTCATTTCCATATCGATCTACATCTCCATCCCCGTGGAAGAGCATCGGTGACCTATCAACCCCCTCCGCCGTCTCGTCGCATACGGCCTCGGATGCTCCATTGGTGTCATCATCTAATCAGTCCGCGCGGCGGGATGCAACAGCAGGAGGCCGTTCGGGAGGAGGCTTACCCCCCAGATCGCCACCCGCTACGGAACGCAGCGATGGGGAGCAGGACAAACAGGAGGGGGAGGGGGAGGCGGAGGCGGAGGCGGAGGGAATCGAATCGTCAGAAAATCACGCAGGGTTATCCTCATCCTCATCCTCATCCTCGCCTTCATTATTGCCTCTCTCGTCATCGTCGTCAGTTTTGTCTAAAGATACGATGGCTGACGAAATATCTACAAGAGCGAGGAGCTCGACAACTTGGCCACTTGCTGCTATTTTCCGCTCCTCTCCCATCGCCGCGGAAAAGCGCCAGTCACGCCCGAGGTCGCGGTTTCAAATCCCGCCCACTTCTGAACGGCGCGGGTTGGCGTCCAGCCACGTGTTCTCCTCTTGGCACGACTCGTCTGCTCTTTCTTCTCGATTAGCAGCAGAATTACTCCCTCCCAGCTCAACACCCCCGCTTCGCAAGGCTTCTCGAGTGGTTCATGGGTCACCAGTCCGAGAAGAAGATGGAGAGGAGGAGGAGGAGAAGGAGGAGAAGCGACAGGTAGAGGAGACGAGAGGAGGTAGAGAAGAAGGGGGAGGTGGAGGAGATACGCCAGAGCCGACTTCGCTTAAGCCAAGGCAGTTAACGACTATGGTGACAAAGAAGAAGAAGGATGGACCTACTCTTAGGAAAGAGAAGCAGCAGCAGCAGCAGCAGCAGCAGGAGGAAAAACAGCAAAACCAGCGAAAGAAGATAAAGGAGGGGGAGGAGGAGCTTTCGATACTGAACAGTGCATCAGAGATTGTGACGACAGCCAGCATCGGTTCTCTAGAATCGCCCCTTCCCGCAGATGCGCCTTGGTCCGGTTCTCCCATCGACGAGCTTGCCCTCTTTGGTTCGGTGGAGTCCCCATTTCCCGAGCCTGTAGATGCTCCAGCTCCTACCTCCGAGGCTCCTGAGGAGAGTATGAGCACGATCTTTAATGAGACCGATACAAGCTTTAATGAGACATTCATTGCTGACTTGTTTAACGACGGCAGCGAAGCTTTAGCTCTGCCACCGATGGGACAGGACAGTGAGGATATTCCGGTGGATGACGAGGACGAGGAGTATGACGCATGGTTGGCGGACTCACCTTTGCCATCCCTGCTTCCTCCGCCGACACCACCGCAACCGATCTTGCCACCAAGCCCATCCCCGCCTCCTCCTCCTCCACCGAGAGCGGACTTTCCCCCGCCTCCAACTTCAGGTCCCACACCTGCGCCCGCGCCTTCCCCGCCTCCATCCCCGCCGCCGCCGTCTCCGCCGCCTCCGTCCCCTCCTCC